TGGGCTCGGCGCTTCCAGGAGGACACGCACAGGAACGTGCCGGGGTGCCCCACAGCTGCTCAGGAGGGAAAAAAGGGGCCAGCACAGTGGGGCTGTGTGTGGAGGAGGGGAAACATCACACCCTGCCAGAGCAGCCACCTCAGGCAAAAGCCACCCCAGGACAGCGAGGGCTGAGAGGACAGAGCAGGATGTCACGCATCAGCTCTCTGAACAAAGCTCTCAGGTGCCTGCAGGGCAGTGTCCTGGCACCATCATCCCACTGACCAAGAAGTAGTCACGGAAGAACTCGGGCAGCTCCATGCTGATTATGTCTTCATCCAACGGGAGCAGGTAGAAGGACCATTCGTCACAGGTGACATCTGATTTGGGACAGGGAAAAGCGACAGTTACCCAGCTCTCAGCAGAAACAGCCCCGAGAATCACGGCAGCGCCGCAAACAGGGGTGTGGGGAGCAGAGAGATGGGGGACTGCACAGGGGATGGTGGCAGGAGGGTCTCTCCTCCCAGAAGACAGGGGAGCGGTGCCGATGCTGTGGGCAGCCAGGCTGGAGGGGACCTGCGCTCCTGCCCGTGCTCCCATCCCTGCCAGCACAGGGACCCCATACTGGGATTCAACTGGGACTCTACAGTGTCGGAGCTACCATGAGCCGCACGTCGGGGAGGGGAAGGGGGAGGCACCACAGCCCCACTCACCGCCAAAGACTCCCTCTTCCTCCAGCACCATCTCGCAGGCATAAAACTGGGAGAGAAGGAGAGACCCTCAGGGCCCAGCCAGGCTCCGAGGGAAAGGGAAAGCTCTGGTGGTGGGGGGACCAGCTCATTCCCAGGCATCACAATGTTTGGTTTTAATTAAACACTTCTGAGTTAGAAATGAAGAACTTTTGGTGTCCGTAGAAGGGGTGGAAGGCACCAGGCCAGGCAGACGCAGAGCAACGGGGTAACGGGCAGCAGAGCATGGTCAGACTGACCTTTTGGGGGCTGAAGATGATCTTGTACTTCCTGCTCCTCCCCGACATCTTGTCAGCGTTGACAATGTCTGTGGACAAAAGACGTGTAGACCCTGCAAAGGCTGCCCAACCCCTCAACTGGCACAACTCCCCTTGTCTGATGGGGGTTCCACCTCACAGGGGACCCAAAACACCTCTGGCAGAGAGCAAAACCCTGGGGGCAGGGCCCGCCTGCCAAGGCTGTGGCCTCCCCAGGAGCCCTTCTCAAGCCCACTCAGCCCCGAGCACCGACCCTCACCCAGGCAGCGCTGGATGCTCCCCAAGAGGCAGCTGCACCCCGACCCTCAGCACGGGGCTAAAGTGTCACCCCCCAACAGCGGGTGACAGAGAGCTGCCCCGCAGCCGCCCCACTCACCAGCGATGTACCGCATCGTCCTGATCCGCGGCCGGACGAGGAAGCAGAACCTGCGGTCACAGAGGGAGCCATTGGCCCTTCTGCCCAGCCCTTCCCCAGCCCCGTTCCCTCAGCAGCTCTGCCCCAGGACCCGGCGGGTCCGGCCGAGCCAAATCCAGGGCTGGCAGCGGGAAGAGCCCCCCCCGCCCGCCCTGCCCACCCCTTTGGCCCGGCCCGGGGGGACTCACTGGTCGCTGCTGCTGGGGGGCGGCCGGCTCTCCACCTTGTACAGCTTGTCCACCTCATGCTGCTGCGGGGAGAGGCCGGGGCGTGGGTGGGATGCGCGGGCGGCACCGGCCCCGGCAGCGGCCGCCCGCCCCGGCCCCGCGGTACCTTCAGGATGGAGACGTTGGCGATGCGGTCCAGGGGGCTCATCAGGTCGGCCTCGATGAACAGGTCCTTCTTCCCGGGGAGCTGAGGGCAGGCGGGGCGTGGGGCCGGCGCCCCACCGGCTGCCCCTCCCGGCCGAA